TCTCTCATTTTCTCTATTTCTTTTATTCTTGTTGTTGTTTTGTACACAACAGAATTAAATCTTTTTAAATACGGTGAAGATTGTCCAACAGAAGGTCCAAGAGAGCTCCAGAGGGTGTGATTCGGTGACTAGATCAGCCGTAGGCTTGGCAGATGATGACACGTCGTCATCGCTGACAATCTCTCATTTCTCCGGGGCTTCGCCATCATCGTCAACGGTGGCGGCGGCTTGTGGGTTCTTGATGATGGTTGGTTCTTCAGTGGCTGATGAAGATTTCTCTACTTCCTCCACCATTTTCTCTCTCCGTGCTTTTTTTTCTCACAACTTTATCAAATGGAGAAGAGAGTATACAAATGCGGGGCCCATTTTACTTTGAACCCCTTACTTCTTTGAACACCCGCCTAACAAACAGAAAACTTATATTCTTTTTAAAACCCCTACCTTAATATCAATTATATCCTTTAATCCCAAACCCAAACCCTAGCCCCCACTCTCAACCACCATCTCCGGTTCACTTCTCCGGCCACCTCAGGTGGTTCTTCGCCCATCAGTTGGGGTACCATTTCTGCAGAACAACCACCAAAATCATCAAATCAAACACATACACATACACGTACAAGTACAGATTATATATATATATATATATGAATTTGTATATATGGATGAAATTAGAGAATTTAGAATCGGGAGAAGTACCAGAGTGAGCTTGTGATAAGTTGTGCGAATGTCAGAAAAGGAGGCGTCCTTACAAATCTCGAGGATGAAGTAGTAACAAGATCCGTCAGATCCTCTTTCTTAATCCATGTCTGGCTTTTTCTTCTTCAACGAGTCTCACTGTAACTGTTATATATGTACCATATAGATATAGATATAGATATAGAGAAAGAGAAATAGAGGGTTTGTTTTAGAGAAAGAGAAGTTGACGTGTGGAGAAAGCTAACCCATTTGCTTACTAGATTTGGGTCGCGACCCAATTCCCCATCTCTGTCGTCGCAAAGAAATTAGGATTTAAAAAGGTTAGGTGTCACAGTGGTGAGAGGTGATGGGAGGGTGGTCGGATCTGCTGAAGAAGAAGAAGATAAAGAAGAAAATAAGAGAGAGAGAGAGAGAGAGAGAGAGAGAGAAGAGGGAGGGGAGGTTGCTGGCCAACTGGAGTGGAGTGGAGTGGAGGTGGATGGTTAGGGTTAGGGTTGGAAGGATGGAGGTGAGTAAAAATATAAACTGGCGTTAGGATAAAATTATAATAAAAAAAATTAAAAAAAATTGTGGGGGTCTAAAGAAAAATGATAGGTGCTAATAGCAACATGTGGGACAATCTCCAACCCAACACAATATTTCATTAAATTTAAATTTGTTAAAAAATTTCAGTTTTTACTATTTTAACTTAGCACCAAATGTTTCATCAAATTTAGAATTTCTTAAATCTTTTATCAAATTGAGGATGAATTTTCCTTTCATCAAATCACTATTTATAGTCGTTGGAGCTACAGATTATTTTCACCACCAGACGACCAGCTGGATATTCAGTTGGTTGTCTCCCAGATGACCACCTCCTTGTAAAAATTTGTAAAAAAATTATACTGGCCGGTTGACCGGCCGGTCGTCCCCCTATCATCCTCCCGGTCAACCGGTGTTTTGATGAAACCCCAAATCACTTTGTTCAAACGCATGATATCAAATTAAGATTGTTTTAATCAAACACATTTTTTTTTATCTTTTATCTTTTTGGGGTCATATCATCTCTCTATTTTTCTGCACATCTTTTTTTAAAAAGTCAAAAAGGATAAAAAAAAAAAATGTGTACTTATTAGTACACCCCAAAGTAAGCCAAGTCAAATTTGATGAAAATTTTGAACAAAGCGTTGTAGATGCTCTAAAGGATCTGGTGAGTGAAGGTGGTGTTTAAGAATTGATTTTTTTTTAGTGATTTTTTTTGGTGTAAATTACACAAACACCCTCTGGGGTTTGGTTCAATTACATTCCACTCCCCGACGTTTTGGAAATTACATTCACACCCCTGTGGTTAATAATCTCATTTCACAAACTCCATGCTTATATAAAAAGTAACAACTCCTAGGAGAAAAATAGAGAAAATTACATTCAAAAAAAAAAAAAAAATGAAGAAATAAAGCAAAGCAAGAAAAGAGAGAGTGGATGAATTCAATGTCTTTTTTCCGTCTAAATAATTACAATGACAGTGGGATTAGTATAATTTCTCAAACGTCAGGAGGTGATATGTATTAAACTCAAACCTCAGGGGGTGTAAATATAATTTACTATTTATTTTTTTAACTAAATTTTCACTTTCCCAAACAAGATCTATAGTTATTTTTTATTTTTATTTTATTTTATTTATTTATTTATAACACGCTATCTAAATTAATCATTCAAACACTGTTTTAAGAGTATTCAATCAGAATTGGTTACAAAATCAATCATATAAAATAGAGTTTTTTAAGTTTAAATTTAAATTTGAGAGAATTTGAAAAGCTATGGAGTTATCATTGATTTGGTTTCGATAATTCGAACTACTCATTTTATAAGAAACTCAATAATAAATTATTCATGAAAAAATATATTTATTTGATAATCGTAACATTTTCATTAATTGTGTTAGTTTTCAAAACATGAATGACAAATATGTTCTAAAAATGGATCATATATTTTATTTAGACAAACACGATAAAATGAAAAAAAAAATTATGACTACTAGATTTTTCTAATTTTTTTTATTAGTGATATACACAGAAGATCTTACTGCAAGTATCTAACTGTTGATATGTGCTGGAATGAAGATCACAAGGCAACAAGGAGGATGGAGATCGTATGACGACCAACAAGGAGGATGGAGGTCACAAGGCACCTAACAAGAAGGATGGATACTTGTGGTAAGGCAAAGGGGAAAACAAGGAACATGGAAGCAGGAAGGCATCAAAGATACCTACACTGTGTTTGTGGACAACTTACCAAATTCAGTGAATCCAAAGAGTCTCTCCAATATTTTTACAAAGTTTGGAGTGGTAAAGGATATTTTTATTCGACATAAGCGAAGAAGGGTAATGAATACAAGATTCGGATTTGTGAGGTTTGATTGCATTGTGGTTGCCATAATAGCAGTTCAAAAAGAAAATGGTCTTTGGGTGGATGATAAAGCTCTAGAGGTAAAGTTTGTAGATTTTGGCAAGGAAAGTGTAAATGATAAAGTTGTAATAGGTCCAGTATGGACCCAAACTAAGAATCAAAATATCCAAGGTGGGGTAGGAAGAAGTGAAGCAAAACCCCTCATAGAGCAGAGATCATTTGCAGAGGTTATAACAACCAAAAAGAGTGTTGGTGGTGGAAACATTACTCTGAAGGCAGAGGAATTTGGAAATGGGTGGTTGTTTGAAAGTGTAGTGGTTCGTCTGAAGGCTAAATATGCCAATATTAGCTTGAAAAAGGAGCTTGGATCAGTTGGTATTGAGGATATTCTGGTAAAAGGAAGTGGAGGAAGAGATGTAGTTATAACATTTAAATTGAAAGAGGATATGGGACTGAAGCTAATAAAGGAGTTAATATTGCATAATATTGGACTGGTGTGATCATATTTATGAAGGGAAACCAGGTTTAGTGCTGGACCAGGAGAGAAATGTCTGGATTAGTTGCTATGGCATTCCACTAAATCTCTGGAACAGTACTAACCTACAAAAGATTGATGGATTGTGGGGACAAGTTATAGGCTTTGATAGTGATATAAACCAACCAGAGTCATTTGTGTGTGCTAAGGTGAGATCTCCACCAGTTTTATGGAACCAATTAACAAGGTCGTATATCTAGAAAGTAGAGGTGCAATGCATCCAGCGAGAAGTATGTGAGGAGCAGTTGGTAATAGTGAAAACAGTTAAAAGAAAGTGTGGTTGTAATAAGCCTCAAGATATGAAAGAGAATTGTAATTCAAATGCGCTGAAAAGACAAGAGAAGGAAGGGAGCAGCAGTGAAGAGGAAGAAGATGATGACATGGAGGGGGAAGCAGTGAAGAGGAAGATGATGATGACATGGGAGATGAGTCAAACCATGAAATGGAACATATGTCTAATGTGGCACAAGATCATGAGCCAGGTGGGCAAAGTAGGAGTGAGAAGATAGAGAAGGAGGTGGGTAGGAGGAGTGGGACTGAAGTTACAAAGTCAAGAAGTGGTATGGAAAAAGTGACCAATACAGAGGGTTGCAACACAACGATAGAGGCGAGAAACCAAAGAAACGACTCTATGGATGAAATAGGTAGGAGTTAGAGAATTGATGGCCAACTACTCACGCCTGGTTATGTTAGAAGTTTGAGTGGCTCGAGTCTGTTTAGACCTGGAGTGAATATTGAAGTGGTATTAGGCCAAAATCAATTATCAAGTCAAGCACATGGGCTGCAACCTGTTCAAAATGGACCTACAATACAAGCTACTAACACAAATGTAAGAAATGGGGCAGTAGGGCTAGCTATTAGAAACTCAAGCATGTCTGAAGCCCATGATAAAGAGCCCATCAATAGATCAGTAAGCAATACGAAAGGAAAGCTAAAGATAAATAGCAAAAGGAAATACAGCCAACAGTGGGCAAAGAAGGGATATTGTGATTTAGTTAGGAGGTATGGTCGAAAAGGGGCTTCAACAAGTAGATCAGCTCCAAAAACTGCAATTTGGAAAGCAGTAGCAGCAACAATTTCCTTATCAGTATCGATTGAAAATGAGAGGGGTAAATGGAGGTATGTTTTGGATGAAGCTCAAGTAACTCTCAAGACGGGAAAAATTTTGGGAATAGAGTACAATGAGAAAGCAGATGAAGTGTTGACTAAGATTGTGGAGCTCGAAATGAAGGATATAGAAAGAGTTGAAGGGGGAAACAAAACTGGGGCCTAGGGTACTCGAAATAGGGTGTTACAAAGGAGTATTATTATGTTGCTATGAAGATTTTATCATGGAATATTAGAGGATTGGGGAAGGACGAAAAAGCAAGGTAAGATTCAGAAGATGTTGAAGGAAAGAAATGTGGATGTTGCAATGTTTCAAGAAACAAAAAAGTCTCAAATCTCAGATGTGGAAGTCAGAACAATGTGGGCTGGGGAGAAAATGGAGTTTATGGGTGTGGGTGCTAAAGGTTCAGCTGGAAGACAGATTGTTATGCATTTAGGATTTAGATATTTTCTAGATTTTCAGAATGTTGCAGTAATAGAAGGTTTATCATTATCTCAGGTACTTTTTTCAATTCATTTGAGTGTACCTTGTTGAATATTTATGCACCTAACAAAGTGGGTGCAAAGGGAGAATTATGGGAAAGACTGGTAAATTTGAAAGAGAAGTTCCCCAAGCCTTGGTGCCTAGCTGGGGATTTTAATGAGATAAGAAGTATGGGCGAAAGGAAGGGGTGCTCTAGAAGAGATAGGGGTACGCAGGAGTTGAATGAGTTCATAGACAAATATGAGGTATCTGATCTACCACTATTGGGCAGAAAGTTAACATGGTGCAATTCAGGAGATAAGGAAATGTGGAGTAGAATAGATAAGGTCTTAGTTGATCCAAAATGGTTTGAGGTATTTAATTTGAAACCGTGGGGGTTACCTAGAGTGATCTCATATCATTGCCCTTTATTATTAATTGAGGATGAGAGAGATTAGGGCCCTAGACCATTTCGGGTGCTAAATGCATGGTTTTTTACATTGAGATTTTCAAGCTTTTGTGGAAAATAGGTGGAAAGAGGCTAATGTAGTGGGTTGGGCTGGGTATGTATTACTCAATAAGTTGAAGACTTTGAAATTAGGACTCAAAAAATGGAATGTGGAGATATTTGGGAATGTGACCAACAAATTGAAGACAGCAGAGTCAGATTTGCATAAATTTGATCTCCTGGCTAAAGATAGAGACCTTACTGACTCAGAAAAAGCAACAAGGAGATAAGTTCGAGAAGAGGTTTAGAGATTGAATAGAATGGTGGAATGGATGTGGCTTCAGAAATCATACAAGATTTTTTCATGTAATGACAAAATGTAGGCAAGCAATAAATGAAATTAGCTCTATTACAGTGGGGGAGGTGGTGATTGAAGATCCTAGGCATGTGAAGGCTAAGGTACTTGAGCATTTTACTAACCAGTATTCAGAACATTGGGCATCAAGACCTCAATTAGGAGGGCCTTTCAAATCAGTGGAAGGAACCATGGAGTATGATTTTCTGGAAAAAGAGTTCACAGAAGTTGAAATAAAAGTAGTAGTAAAGGAATGTGATGGAAATAAAGCACCTGGGCCAGATGGCTTCAATATGTTTTGCTTTTAAAAGTTCTGGAAAATTATGAAGGGGGAAGTGATAAACTTTGTAAATGAATTTCATAGGAATGGAGATTGTTGAAGGGAATCAATAGCTCTTTCATAACTCTTATACCTAAGAAGGATAACCCAATAGGGCTATCTGATTATAGGCCTATAAGTTTGGTGGAGTCAATTTATAAGATCATAGCCAAATTATTGGCAAATAGATTGAAAGTAGTATTGCCTCACATAATCAGTGAAACACAATTAGCATTTATAAATGGAAGGAGCATACTAGATGGTGTGTTAATTGCTAATGAGGTTGTTGATGGGTGGAAGTTAACTGAGAAGAAAAGGGTGGTCTTAAAATTAGATTTTGAAAATCCATATGATTTCATTAATTGGGGCTACTTATTCTTTATGTTATCAAAGTTTGGGTTTGGCTCTAAATGGTCTAGTTGGATTAAGGAGTGTGTCTCAATTGCAAGGATATCAGTGCCTGTCAATGGATCACCAACTGAAGAATTCAGTCCACAAAGGGGGCTAAGGCAAGGGGACCCTTTCTCCCTTTTCTTGTTCAATATAGTAATTGAAGGACTCCATATTCTTTTAACCAGAGCTCAGGATCTTGGACTGATTAATGGAGTGAAGGTAGGTTTAAATGGTGTTGTGCTTTCCCATCTCCATTTTACAGATGACTCATTGTTATTTTGTGAAGCAAAGGAGGCAGAGGTGAGAAACTTGAAAAGAGTGCTAAGATGCTTTGAGATCATGTCAGGTTTGAAAATAAATTACCATAAAAGTGTTGTATGTGGAGTGGGTGTATCAGATGATGTTTTGAATGGTTTTGTTTCATTACTTCATTGCAAAATCAAATCCTTTCCCTTTATTTATCTTGGGCTGCCTTTAGGGTCTAACCTAAGGAAGAAAGCTACATGGAAACATGTTTTGGATAAAGTTAGAAGTAAGTTGGCTGGTTGGAAAAGGAAGTTGTTGTCTTTTGTAGGAAGGTTAACACTTATAAAAGCAGTAACATCTGCACTACCAGTGTACTACTTGTCTCTATTCAAGATGCCTAAGGGGGTAGCCAAAGAATTTGATAAACTTCAAGCTTCATTTTTGTGGGGGTGGGTTAGAACTTAAGAGGAAGATTCATATGATCAAATGGGATGAACTATCTAAAAGGGTGGATCAAGGAGCGCTAGGCATCAGGAAAGTTAAGGAAGTGAATAATTGCTTGTTAATTAAATGGTGGTGGAGGTTTGGTTATGAAGATGAAGCTTTGTGGAAGAGAGTGATCTGTAGCAAATACAAGTTAGAGGTTAGAAGTTGGTTTCCATTATTTACCTTTTCTGGTAGACACTCTACTATATGGAAAGGAATCTTATCTATTGTTGAGCATAGCAACACCTTAAAAGAGTTCTTTATGATGAATTATCATTTAAAGGTTGGGGATGGTAGAAGGATCAATTTGTGGACTGATATTTGGTGTCAGGCAGCAAGTTTCAAGGATATGTTCCCAAGTCTTTATAGGCTGTCCATGGAAAAGAGTGTATCATTAAGAATAATCTATGATAGAAAAGCTTTGTCTGGAGAATGGAATCTTGCATTCAGAAGAAAATTATATGATTGGAAGGAGGTGATCTTGAAAGATTGTTAAATCATCTTATGTTAGGCCCTGAAGTGAGATTAGGGCATATCGATAAGATTGTCTGGTCAACATCTCCCTTTGGTGAGTTTTCTGTATCATCAGTGTATAAATCTGTTGTGAATAGCCTTGGGCCATCTCTGAGAATCAGTAAATTGGTTTGGCTAAATTACATTCCTCCAAAGGTGCAAGTATTTGGGTGGTTCGCTTCGAAAAAGAAAGTCAAGACAAAAGAGTTCCTTCATAAAGTAGGGGTACTCAATGGGAATATCTCCACAATATGTGTGTTCTATAACAGAGACAGTGAATTTGTGGATCATATGCTAATTTACTGCCCTTTTGTTTGGCAAATTTGGGCTAATATGATGAATTGGTGGGATGTTCAGGGTGCTATACCAAGTTCGGTGGATCATCTATTGGTTTGGTGGGCTGGACAGATGATGAAAAAGATGGAGAGGAAGATCTGGAGTGCTATTCCATTAGTTGTACTATGGTCTATCTGGAAGCATCGAAATGAATGTGTGTTCAGAGCTGCTATTCCAAATCTGAGTGAGCTATGTAAGTTGATTAAGATTAGGATTGCTTTGTGGATGAAACCAGTATTGAAGGATTTTAACTTTTTAGTCCAAGACTTTATTTTCAAGCTAAGACAGATTAGGAAGTGCTTAGGGAGTTGACAAATTGGTTGAGTGCCCAATCTAGCAGGTGTTCTGTTTATTATCCTTATGCAGCTGTTTGGTGCAAGAGAAGAAGGTGTATACTAGGTGAACTATTGTATCAGTAATGGATGACGAATGCTATGGATTAAGTTTGGTGCCCAGCAACAGATGCTCTATTTAGTTCTGTGTGAAATTGAGAAGGTGAAGTATTGTTTTAGTTATGGTGGTTGAATGCTATAGCCTAAGTTTGGTGTCTATCAACAGAAGCTATATTTAGTTGTTTTGTTTAGCACCACCAGTTGGCTATTTGTGTAAATGGTTGATTGTTTATCTAATTGGAAGATTTTGGGGGATGGAGTTAATGCTAGTAGGGTGATACTGCTGTAGAGGTTTGTGTTGAATGGAGCTCTTGGGTGATGCTGCTGCTGCAGAGATGTATTACTGCTACTGCTAATTGGTATACAATCAGTAATATGTGCTGTGGCAGTTGAGTGGAACATATCAGATTGGAACATACTGGTTGAGAATGGTTTTGATATACTGCTAATGGTTGCTGTTTTTGATGCTGCTAATGGTTGCTGCTGCAGTGCTAGTCTTGGTATTGGGCTGATGCTTGATGCTGTAGTTTTGTTGCTGCTGTAGAGTTAGTGTTGGTGTTGTGCTGTTGTGATGGCTTTGGTGTTGTTTTGATATACTTAATTTTGTTTATCTTGGTCTTTGAAAATAGAGGATAGTTGCTGCTGTGTGCTGTTTTGTTCTCGCCAATTGTTTTTTTTTTTTCTTGTCTTTGGTTGGCTTCTTGCCAACTTTGGATGGTTTGCTAGCAAGGGATTGGACGAACATATTGGTGCCAACCTAGTTGGGATTGGTATGTCTCGCTATGATACTTTTTGCACCCATTCCTTTCCCTTTCTTGATGTAATGAGTTCTTTGTTTATCAATAAAGGTTTTTCTTTTTTTTCTTTATTGATAAAAAATAAAAAATAAAAAAACACAGAAGATCTTACAAAATTAACGGTTTAAATAATCGAAATGAGAGTTGTGGTGTGACTCACAGACCCCTTAAATTCGCTCAAGTTCAAATTTAAACTTAAAAAGAATCCAACTTTATAAAATATGCCATGCAATTTGAATAAATATCTTTTATGATGGACCTACCATATGGTATATGTGATTAAAATTAAATTTTTAGTCCAATTTTGTGTTTGTAGTATGGTAGAAAAAAGCTTCTATTTTCTTTTTTCTTGAAATAAAACATATAGATACGGTATGCTCAGGGACGAACCAAGAATTCATTTGTGGGAGGCCAAGATATGAATAATTTTTTTTATATGAATTAGTATAGATTACTATTTTTTGAATTCAAAAAATAAACTAAAATTTAATATTAGATTAGTACGTAAAAAATTAAACAGCCATATATGCAGCCATAATATATAAATAAAAGCAAAGTCATCTATTAAATAATTTTTTATACAAATCAACTCAATCATCTATCGAAGTAGAACTCGATGTTCTTTCCTATCTTAAAAATCTTCAATGATTGACTTTATGGTAAAATTTTCAATAATTTCCTTTTCAATGTACACAAGTACAGAATCCATAAGAAATTAATTCTCTATTTAGTTGTGAAGTCTAGTTTTGATAATTTTCAATCTGAAGAAATAAATTTTTTATTATATTTCAATTTTCATCTTGGTTCCATAATGCAAAAAGCTGGGGGCCAATTATATATTAGGTTCAAAAGTGTCATTTTTTCTAAAATCACTCGAAGGGGTATGCTTTGATTGGATTTTTTAGTTGGACAATTTTCACATTGAGCAAAAAATGGAAAAATATTATAAGATGATTTGGTCCAATTTTATACGAATTTTTGAATACATGATTCATCTTCAATTTTTGAAATAACTAAATTGTACTCGACAATTCTATTCATCCTCTAGTAATAACAATTTAGGATCGAACTTATTATGATGAAGGAGGCAGGTGTGGCTAATTTCTCTCAAATTTTACAAATTCTTGATAAGTTTGATGCAATTTCAAATATTTATAAATGAAATAAACGTTTTGATCCCTTAGAAATTATATAATTTTATTCCGCTTTGAGTGCAAATTGGCATAATAATTCATGTATGCAGTAGATTTACTTTATTCCATTCTTTTTTAATTTTTTTAAGAATGTATTAAGACAAGATAGAGATCTAAATTTAAATTTCTTCTCATTGTCTTACATAATCTAATGATTAAGAATGAATCAAGATAAGGAGATAGAGATTATAAAAATAGAAGATATGTCCAAAAGATTGCTCAATGAATTGAAGTTGTAGGGACACTATGCAACACAATAGTTTCCATAGTCACCCCGGTCCAAATCCAATAAGAACACCATACTCAAATCCTTCACCAGTGCTTGTGCTTCCTTCCACAACTGACCATTTTTTCATCTCTTCCAAAACAAATATCACACTTGAACTCCACATATTTCTATACTCACTCCACCACCTTGCTCATTTTCAGTTTCTTCTCATTTAACTCAAGTTTTGCCTCAATTCTGTCTAGAATTTTTCGACCACCAAGATGAACCATCCAAAACAATGAGTTCCAATCGCTAATCCCAAGAGGACTAAAAGCTTCAACTAAACACTACTCAATATTATTTACGACTACACTAGATAACTTCTTCAACAAGTAATAAATCAGGCCAATTTTATGTAACTGCCCTCCCACCGCATCATCTGACTCTGGTGAAATCGTTTGATTCACAGAAACAATCTTGAAAAACGGGCATTCGATCAATATATTGGGATTCACACCAACTATGATAGCAGCAGCGCCATCGCCAAAGATTGCATGGCCCACAAGAAATATCCAAATGGGCATGCGAAGGACTGCAACCTTGCCTTCAGAGCAAATTACAAGAACCTGAGCACCATATTGTTGTTCTTAGTTAGGTCTTTGGCGAGTCGGAAGACAGTTCCACCACCATAGTAACCCAAGTGGTACAACATGAACCTCTTCACAGAGGGGTCAAGGCCAAGGAGATTGATGAGTTAATAGTCCAAACCTAGCATTACTGTGCCCAAAGTTAAGTGAAATACAAGGTGTGTAATGCTTGATTTGGGTTGCCCCCAATCTTTGATGGCCTTTATTGCAGCTTCTACACCGAGTTTGGGTATTTTCGTAATTTCTATATCTAGGCATGTGTCAAGAGATGGTGTCATCTGGGCAGCTATGTTTGGATTTGGCTTTAAGATTTCCTCAGTTACATGCATGTAACGTTTTGTGATCATTGATTTTTCACCTGAAAACCAAAATCGTCATATTTTAAAGAGTTGATTATCACAATTAGAACTAGAGAAGCTAAAGTGAAATTATTGTAGAAATGTAATAATGATACATGTAACAGTATGTGTCATGACCCAAACCTGCCCCTATAGGCTTAGTGTCGTAACTGGCTAGTAACCCTTGGATTACCCAAGGCCTCTTAACAAAAAGACACATGATAAGGGGTTGCGGAAGCAATTATAAAAATACAAATTGTCCATAGAGCTGTGATAATGTAAATGAGATAGAAATTTCCAAAACAAACTTATATAAATATATGTGACGTCGTAGATACATTAGTCTTACGTCACCCATATGCACAGATGTAATCAAAAGGAAACTTATCCCTAAGTACAGATTAGCAAAAATAACAACAAAACATCTTTGCCAGGTTCACAAAACTTGACTTCTTCAAAAAGGGAACCTCCCAGGGAGGCACAGTGGTTGGCTGACTTAACAATCCAAGCAGCAGCTGGGCCTGGTCATGCGCTTGTTCACCTACATACATAAAATAAATAGTGAGCAGGACCCTAGTGAATAATAATAGAGTAAAGAGTTTTAATGAATGATATCCATGACAGATTCAGAAATCAGAGTTCATATCAGATATAGATTTATAATCATGTTCTTGTTCAAACTACATATAGAAATCAGAGTTCATGCTTAATCATACATGGTACAACCATTAACGCTAACATGCTTGTTAGTTCTTTTAAGGAACCTCCGGTACCGAGAACTTGTAACTTGCTTGAACCATAGTATTATTACCCCCGGTCAAAGGCCTTGAAAACCACGGTATTATTACTTCTAGGCAGGGGCCATGAGACCACCGTATTGTTACTCCTGGGCAAGGGCCTTGTACTTGTAGACCATGATATTATTACCCCAGGCAAGGGCCTTGTGCTAAGGATGCCACGAATACATTTCAAAAATTTGGACAATCATTCATTCATACAGAACATCTCATTTCAAAAAACTAATCATTTCATAGCATCAGAAAATAATTAAAGTTAAATATAACTTTACAGAGTTATTACTCACAGATGGCTCCACTTGCAGAACAAACAAATCAGATAACTTGTGGCATGTGACCTACACATATAGCAGAAAGGCATAATGAAACACACACTTGGCTGGTACTTAACTCTTTTTGTTTTATTTTTAGTGTGTTTCTAAGTCTTAACCTCTTAATTGAGTCTTAATCATGGCCTAGGAATGCCTAGAACGCAATGTGGATGCTAAAATGCACTTTGGTACCCTTAACAAAACTTGCTGAAAACATGGGTCACGCTCGAGCGTAAATTCCTTCTCTCGAGCTGACATGCAAACATGTGAGGGGTTAATTACTTGAGCACAGATTCTCTCGCTCGAGCTGTCTGCAAATTTTGAAAAGTATTGGTTATGTGATTTTCACGCTCGACGGACGCTCAATGGTCGCTTGAGCGTGAGGCTCAGGTCCTTGCTCGAGTGCAACTCTTGTCGCTCGAGCGGTCTGTAAAAACATGAAACTTCTGTGAGCTTGCATTTCACGCTCGAGCGGACTTCTGGTTGCTCGAGCAGAAGTGTAATGTCACAGAGTGGTCTCTCAAGTGTAGGTCTTGATGCTCGAGTGGAGAGCAAAATTCTAGGATTTTCATACTGCTCTTCTCAGCTCAAAACTCAAATTCAAAGTTGTAAAACAAGGTCTTTTGGGCCAAAAGCTTGAGGAAACAATTGTAAATGGTGAAACCATAGTGAATTCAAAATCATTTCACAAGATCAAGGCCTAAAAGGTTGCCAATTGTTTGAGACAAAACGCAAATCTTTGAAAACATAGAAATATATATCATGCATGTAAAGGTGCAAGTTCCAAGCTTTCAAAACATGATCCAATGAGGTATCTAACTCAAAAATATGTTGAATTCTTAGACCAACGCCAAAATGAGGACATGCAAGAGGCAATTCTTTGAAAACAACTTCAAATTATGATGAAATGAGCATGCATACATGATATGGTTCATTTTCCTTTAATTCTAACTCAATTCTTGTATCAGCCTACTTAATTCTTTAGAGTTCATGTCCTACACATCATAATTGCACAATTCAAGGGTTGAATTCTTACCTAGGCTTCCCAAGATGTGTGCTAGAGGCTTAATTCTTAAGTTTTCAAGTCCAATGCCTTCAATTCTTAGCAACTCTCCCTTTTCCTAGCTTTGATTCCAAATTCCTTCCTTCTCTCACTCTTTCTTACATTTTTCTCTCTAAGGGGGGGTGATATGAGAGTGTATAGTGAACTAATAAGTTCACATGAGCCTTATATAGGCTTAATTAAGTTATTA